ATATATAAAAATAAAAGCATCATAAAAGAAAAAAAAGAATTAAAATTAAGCTTTTAGGTGCTTCACGCTGCCTAGCTACCAAATCTTCTCTTCCTTCATCTTTAGATTTGGGCAAACTCTGTATCGTTCTTTAGAAACAACATTGATAGCCATCATCTGTGCCAAAAACACTGGAGTCAAAAGAGGAGCTTCACAGCTAAGATCGGATGCTAAAAAGATCACAGCTACTGGAGTTGTAGTAGATTCAGCTAGGCCTAGACAAGGGCCAGGAAGGGGATACCTATCTTCCACTCCAGTTCACATTCTCTTGGCTTCAGTTTTATTCCAGAAACCAATGACGAACTCCAGTGGTTTCCCAGAACTGCATACTTCCTTTAGCCAAATACAGTATTATTTAAATTTGCTAATGGTCAGGTTGTGCGTTATTAAATCGGATCAGCAGATTATTAAAACCTGCTGTTTCACAGCTATGCAATCAATAAATAACCCATTTAGCAGGTTGTTAAATCTTAAAGTATAGCTGTCTGGTGGCCACATGGGCATTTATTTAACTTGCAATTATTGAAACGAGACACGTTCAGCGCAATCTCAATTACCTGAAAGCTGCTGTATCTCAAAACCTTATCTGAACAAGGTCACATCGCTGACAGTAGCTGGTAATAATTGGATGAGGGTAATGGAGGGAGGCCCAGAGGGATAAGTCCATGATGCCTTAAGGAAATCCTCTCCAAATCCTGGACCAGGGAACTGGAAAAGCTAAAAGGAGGTCTTCCGGAAACCAAGGGCAGGATCTGTATTGTGCCCAGTGCACGGTGGGATTCATTGAGTATAATGTGGACTATACTGTAGTCCAACACATACCTCATAAACGCAAAGATGTAATACCTTGGGGTTAATTGTTCCCAGTACTCTGGGATGCAATAAAGTACAAACATGAGTCCAAGACCCAGAGATGGGGACAGACCTACTTCTAAAGAAGGTTAGCTAGATGGATTTGGATAATGCGCTTTTTCTCAATCGCTTCCTCCCTTTTGGGATTCTCCTCATATCAAACCTACTCTCAGGGCTTCTCCAGCCGTGAGAGATCTGGCCAACAGGTTTTGGATAATGAGGCTTGTTCTGCATTTGTTAGTGGTCTCTGGGAGACCCTCAGACCCTGTCTGCCCCGTCCTGTAGCTCTGCTGGCCAAGCATACCGTGTACTGCGATCTCCTTGGTGTCCTGGATGAGGGTGCTCCCCGCAGCGACCTGGACCGTGATGGTGTTCATCCCCTCGGCGGCAAACGTGTAGGAGATGCTGCTCTCCAGGCTGATAACGGGCTGCAAAAGCCAAACAAAAGCAATGACCGTGCAAACTGCATCTCACACCTGTTGGAGCACACGGTGCTGATATGCTCGTAGTGCTGCAGGATTAGGAGGAAGCTCTTTGGGCTGGCCGGCCGGCCCAGCGTCCTGAGCTTACCGGAAACCGTCTCTCCAGTGAGCTGAACAAAGCATTCACTCTAGTCCGGTGCAGTGAGGAGCACAATGTTCCTCCCTGCCCAGTACCACTGCTCTCACTTGATCAGGCTGTCCTCAGAGATGGGCTTGAACCACAGCTGGAATCCAGCTGTGAATTCCCTCTCAAATCTGGTGCTGGGCTTTAGTCTCGGCTCTGCCACCAACTTGTACAGATAACTTCAGCAAGTTGTTCCCTGCCTCCCTTTTCAAAGTAGGATCGTGCTATTAACCACGTGGGTTAAAGCTCTTTGTGACCTAAGAGTTGGAGGTTGCCACAATTCCTGAATACAGATGGGGGCCGAACCCCCGTGGCTCAGCCAAAGTCATGGAGGGAATCGAACACAGCCAGCAACTGAATGCAGATATCCTTTTCACTCTGACCACCTTCCACATCATCAAACCTCCCCGGGCTCTTATACAGTTACATTGAACCTCTCATGCTTTCCCTCCATGGGATGACCCGTTGAGTGAGGAGTCCTCTCCTATGGCTTTGGGTCACTTCTTTATTTCACAAAGGTGGCCGCTCAAGCTGGCTTAGCCTGCTATCTGTTTTCTTTCTTGCAGGCACCCAGGCCAGCCTGCTTGAGTAGCGCACAGGAGGTCTCCCAAGACATCATGAGTAAACAGATACACACACTCAAATCCCCAGGATGCTACCTTGCATGGAGTCAGAGCTACATGCATGCCAGATCAGCAAAGAACAGGGCCGTACAAGCCATAACGAACATGCCCAATTGTGCTAGTGGTGGCAGGCTGTGAATCCAAGCCAAAGCAGATACCAGCATCCCATTAAAACTGCCTTCGTTTCGTGCATGTCTGAGGGGGCTGGGTGCTCTATTATCATGGCTGATTTGACCTCTATCACAGAGCTTTAACATTCAGGCAGTTCCTTAGATTTAATGCAAGCATTGAAACCTGGAAACAAACTCTAAATTAAATCAAGTCGTTTAAGATACATTTGCTCAAATCTACTAGGCAACCAGAAACATTTATTAAACTGGACCTGTGTTAATCCAGGCAAGTTGGCCTTTGGGTAGAAGGCAATATTAGTGAATCAGCAATTACTGTAGGAGAGGGAGAAAATTTCTGTCCAGGATGGATTTAAAAGGGAAACCAGTTTGCAGCGATGACCTTTGTGTGTAGGGCAAAACGTGCAAAGCAGCACAGGACGTGGTAGATGCTGTGTGTGATGTCCATGGCTCTCATAGGAATGGAGATTCCCAGACTCTGGGAAATATGCCACATGTGCAGAGTTGGGCCTCAGGATTATAATTCCTCTGGGCTCGTCAGTGCCAAAAAGACCCAGTCGATGCCCCCCAGATGGTTGCTTAGATGGGCAGGGAAGACTGGACTGTTACCCATAGTGCTTCAGAGTCACAATGGTATAAACTCCAGGGAGAATAAGACACAGAAAAACAAGAGAAACATTCGCTGTTTCAGCGGAACACGTGAGAAAGTACTTGCAGAAACCCGGGCTCAAATCACAATCAGTCCTTTGCATCCTTTGCCCTAGTACCGGCCCCTGTCGTTGCTGTCACGCACGCCCAAGACAAACACAGCGGGGCTGTGCTGATGCTGCAGTTGTCTAAATCAGTTGTTATGCACCGTGCACCAGAGTTTTGGCAGGAGCACAGACGCTGCCACCGCTGCAGTCTCTGTATTCCCTTTTGCCATCCGCCAGCCTAATGCTGAGATGTAATGAGTCATTCTTTCCTGCACGTGCGTATTTGTAACACGGCCCGCTTTCAGAGGCAGGATGGTGAGGACAGACCAGCCCAAGGCAATGAATCAAAGCCCACAGTTAACTCTTTGGGGTTTTTTGTTGGTCTAGGAAAAAGGGACACAGGGCAGCGTTAAAAGAGCTCAATGAGATTAGCTACACCGATGACTCTCAATCGGGGTGCTGCGGCATCCTGGGGTGCCTCGAGATCCTTTCAAGCATGTACACAATGTTAGTACTGCCAGATGTGCGAACATGATTCACAAGATAAACCCAAAGATTTCAAATAGGTATCCATATTGTTAAGAAAATGCTGCTCTGTCATGGCCTTTCTGCGTTCTTTGGCAACAAAAGAATTGCTCTGTTACTTCTCTGTAGTTAAAAAAGGAGTGAAAACTAAGACTTGGCATTTTGCAATGGGTGTCCCAAGTCTAACAAAGCTGCCTTAAGTCTAAGAAGGTGAGAACCACTGAGAGAGATGAATCTTTATTGGTATTAAATCTTATTAGTGCCTTCCATCACCATCAGAAACCAATCACTTACAGGTCTAAGATGATCTCCGGACAGACAGTTATCTGATACCAGTATATCTCCTCTTGGCTCCATCTCCTCCCTCTTATTCTAAAAGTCTGAAATTTTATAGCCCACCTGCAATCTGATCTCCAGCTCTGAGGGGAAAAAAAGCTAAGGCACAGTTCTGCCCCTGCCATTTGCATCTGGCCTGGCTGTCCAAACCTGCATGTTGCTTGCAAAAATAGGTGTGTTTTTATGTTGAGAAAGTTTAACTTAGTTTACAATTGCAGTATGGATGATGAGTTGTAGTCTTCAACTTGAAATAATTAGTTGAGCTAAACTCAAGTGGGAGGATGTAGGACTGAATTCATTTGGTTACATCAAGGTAAAAACGACCATGTTTTGTCTCTACTAGGGCACACTGGGTGCATCTACATGTGCACTTTTGTACTAGGTTTAATGTGCATTACCTAAAGCACATTAATGAACGTGTAGATGTGCCCTGTGTTAGCTACCTTGATGTAAAATCACTTTTTCTGCGATGAACACATAGCGGGAGCCCATGTCTGCCCATGTGAATCTAGGATGTTGATGCTGATGTTACTAAAACTGCCTTCATAAATATTGATGGACACAAAACTGCAACCACATTATTGTCTGCATGAGTTACACCTGGAAAAAATGGAGGAGAGCATCTGAATGTGTTGCCCCACAGATCTCTCATGCAAATAACCTCCATTAAAGAGTCTTTCCCTGACACTCCCTTAACAGTATTTTTTATTTCAGTCTTCAGCAAAAGGACCCTCAGTAGTAGGCAACTGTTTTTCTTTGCCAATTCCTTGAGTGTCCACATAAGAGAAATGTCATTTGCATCTCTTATATGTACTCTGGACTACGAACAGAAGGCATGGACAGGCACAGACAATTCACTGGAAGCTTGGCTTAAATTTCTAGATAACGCCAGTTGTTTGAATAGGAACAGCTTTCAAGTGCTGTGTTGGACCCCAGCATTACATGCTGTATACCGGTATATAATGGACAAACTGATGATTATTTGAACACCAGCCGCTTTTAAATGCTGTGCTGAAACCCAGCATTATCCCATATACGGCGGTATGTAATTTTGTTAAGTTGCAAGTGAATGCCGGTAAATAACAGTGGTTGTCAAAGCACAGTAGTGCCAATAATAACCAGCTGGAAAAAAAAATATAATTATTCTTGCTAATTGCAACAAGGGGGATGGGGAACAATCACAAAGCATGAAGTTGAGATCCCATTCAGACTTTTTAGAAGCAGGAAATACCAAACCAAGCAAGGACAGCGTATCTTTGTTCCACTTTGTTCCCATCAAACCATCTGAGTGGAATAGATGCAAGGAGAGGGGTGGGGGATCTTACCTTCGTGCTGTTACCAAACCACCAGAAGTAGGTGAGCGTGCCGGACTGACTTGGCCACACCACGGCAGTAATGTTGACTTCCTTATTCCTGATGGCGACAAAGGGGACGCTGAGATGGACATGTTCCAGTGGACCTGTGGGAAATGACCAAATTATTACAGGGTTCCACATAAGATTCCCTTGCTCTGTATTTTTACAAATCTTCTCTTCTTATTGAAAGCAAGGGAGGTAATTAGAGAATCCAGCCCTTGGATATCTACTTAGAGTCGGATTTGGAGTGCTTCAAATGCATGTCTGTACCCTGATTTGAAGCGCTTCAAATTCAGAGCGTTTCAACACCTGCTGAAGGCCACCATCTTGTGTTGCATGTCATGTAACAATGCTTAGAAAATACTGACTTCCAGTCTCCACCCACATGAACTGTATCTTCAGATGAAAGGCTCCACATTTGACACCCACCTTCTGAGCCATGTTGGGCGAACAGAGTCTCCTTTGCATAATCAAATATATATTGTAGAGATGGACAAAAATCAACACCCTATGTTTTTGGTAAGGCCATCCATTATTGCTATAAATGAACATCAAGGAAAATAGGCATTGGAAGTGGTCCTACACCCATTTCTTATATCCACTCCCTGTTATTTTTATAGATCAGAGCACTATAGATCAAAATATTTCAAATGTTATTATTTTTTAACCAAACATTGCTGTAGTGCCTAGGATCGCCCATCATAGACCCGGATCCCGTTGTGTCACACATTGTACAAGCACAGAACAAAAGAGATGGTCCTTGCCACAAAAAAACATATATATCTCAGTAAGACAAGAGAAATCAGGTTGATACAGACAGACCAAGGGGAAAGGAGACAATGGAGGAAAGCAAGATGGACAGCAGCGGCACCATAGCAAAGGCCTTTTTGAAGGGGGACAAGCAAGTGGCTTTGCTCCTTTCCAGCATGGGGGGCAGCTCAGGAGACAGCTTGAAGGCGCTTGCTCAAAAATTTAATCCAAGAGTGATTGGTATTTATGTGCAATTAATAGTTGACAAGAATCTAGTTGGTTTTAACTGGTGTATGTGATAAAATCCCAGCTTGTTCCTACTCAAAATCCACTGGGAGCTTGTATTTATGTGGTCTGCATCTCAAAGAAAACTGCATGAGGTTGGCTGAGAATGGAAATGGGTGCTTTTTGACCAAACTTAGGACTTTGGGGACTCAGCTGATATCACTGGTATTTGTGGATTTTTTTTTCCTTTTCATCTTTGTCCTCTGATTATCCAAGGAACACTCCTCTGAAAAAAAATGTGTAGTGTCAAGAGAAAATGCTTAGCAAATAGGAAGCTGAACTTGCCTACAGATTGCTAAAAAAAAGTGGCAATCTGGGAAATATAGCAGCAGCAAAGAGCCCAAAATAACCTTAGCACTCACTCCCAGTGCATAACAATTAAGATTTTAGTTCTTCACCGAGGAGGGGAAAAAAAAGAAGAAAAAAAGAGAAATAGAGGAAGAGAAAGAAAACAGATGGAGAAAACACTAACATTTTTGCTTGAAATGCTAGGGGGTTTTTTCCATCTGCTTTTTTCCCTCCTCTTACCTCTTTCTGTGTCAGCAGAACTGAATTGTAATGGGTAATTAGGACACACCAGGTGGTCTGGGGTGTTGCTGAGCTTTTTTTGTTGGTGTTTTTCACAATATGGCAGCCAAACCCATAGGTATTACCAGGGAGCATGGGTGGCCTTTTGGAAAACTCACTTCTTATGGGATGTAGATACTAGACCACAGAAAACCAATGGAGGCAAAGCTCTACTTCGCCCTAGGCTTTCCAGTGTGCTGACCCCCATGCAGGAAAGGATACTTATTCGTAGATGTGAGGGGGAAAGGGGCACAAAAATATTCTGCTTATAATAAAGGTTCAACAGCCTGAGAAGCCTGCATGACCCCAATATGAAGGGACAATAAGAGGTGTCTAAGGATGGGGTAGACAAGGACAGACTGGTATAGCATCGCCAGCTGAGTCCCCACCTCGGGAGTCCTTGTCATCAATCCGCCATTGCTATAATAAAATTAAATAATCCCTGGGAAATGGGCTGTTATTACCAGCTCACCACGACTTTTGTTAGCTAATGGCCCAAGGTGAAGCCAAGAGCAGTTAACGCTCTAATAACCCGTTGTTAAATGGAGCCAGGATGGACATGGAGGGAATGACAAGCGCAATTAAAGCTTCAAGGGATATTAATTTCATCGTGCACGCAGCTCGGGATTTGAAAATGATGTTCTTCTCAGGTGCTCAGGGTATTTATAAGTAGGAGGAGAAGGCAGTTGATCTTCATGAATGCCATCAGGGACACAGTGTAAGGGGGTACATCAGAGTGCTGCTGGACCACTTGTACCATGTGGCCTAGTGGTCTGAGCACAGGCCAGAGAGCCTGGAT